TAGGGCCCTTGGTTCCTTGGGATCCGACAAAAATTTCCCTTTCTGAAGGAAGTCTATGTATTTGTTTTCCTAGTCCCAAGTAAATCTTGTTGAGTTCACCTCGGCGTGATCTTCTTCTATCACTGAGTTTCATCAATTGCACTACTGCTCCGGAGTTGAATTCGTCGAAGTCGACTGATGACCCTAGATTAGCTAACACATCAGCCTCATTATTTTGATCTCAAGGTACATGTTGTTGAGTCCATTCCCTGAATTGGTGTAAGGTCACTTGCAACTTATCCAAGTATCTCCGCATCCATTCCTCTTTTACTTCAAACGTCTCGTTGACGTGGTTAACGACGAGGAGGGAGTCATATTTGGCCTCGATCACCTCAACCCCCAGGTTCTTAGCCAGATCTAGACCTGTAATCATAGCCTCATATTAAGCTTCACAGTTAGTCAATTTCACAGTTCTAATAGACTGCCTTATTACGTTCCTATAGGTGGTTCCAATACGATTCCCAGCTCAGACCCTTTTGCGCTAGAAGAACCGTCTGTGAATAGGGTCCAGACCCTCGAGCTAGTCCCCGAGGCGAGCAGTAATTCCTTCTCAACCTCGAGGAACAAGGCCGGTGTAAAGTCAGCCACGAAGTCTGCCAAAATTTGAGATTTTAGAGCAGTCTGGGGTTTGTACTCAATATCGTACCCGCTAATCTCTACGGCCCATTTTCCCCAGCCAGCTTGAGAGCTCGGGTTGATGCATAATATTCCTTAGCGGGTACGAGGTCACGACACATATGGGGTGACACTGAAAGTACGGTTTTAATTTCCTAGATATGCTCAATAAGGCGAGTGCTAATTTTTCTAAGTATGGATACTTTATTTCGGCATCGCCTAGGGTTCTACTAACATAATAAATAGGAAATTACGTACCTTCTTCTTCCCGGCCCAGGATGCCACTTACCGCTAACTCAAAAACTTCCAAGTAGAGGTATAAATACTCGTTCGCCTTCGGAGTGTGTAGCAAGGGAGGGCTCGATAGCTACCATTTGAGTTCTTCTAAAGCCTGCTGGCATTCCGGGGTCCAAGAGAAGTCGTTCTTCTTATTTAGTAATGAGAAGAATCGATGGCTCTTATCTGACGACCTTGAAATAAATCGGCCCAACGCAGCTATCCGCCCAGTTAGTCTTTGTACTGCCTTGACATTGTCAACTATGGTGATATCTTATATGGCTTTTATCTTGTTCGGGTTGATATCTATTCTCCGGTTGGATACCATGAAACCGAGGAACTTTCTCGAGCTGACCCCGAAGGCACACTTCTCTGAATTTAGCCTCATGTTGTATTTCCTCAATATGTCGAAGGTTTCCTGCAAATGCTTCAAATGGTCGTCTGCTCGCAGGGACTTAACTAACATATCATCAATATAAATTTCCATTGATTTCCCTATTTGTTCCTCGAACATCCGGTTAACTAGGCGTTGATATGTGGCACCAACATTTGTAGCCCAAAACGGCATTACGTTATAACAGTAGGCGCCAAATTTAGTTATAAAAGAAATCTTTTCTTGGTCGCTCGGGTCCATCTAAATTTGGTTGTACCAGGAATAGGAATCGAGAAAACTCAGTATCTCGTGTCCGTTCATCGCATCGATAATTCGATGTGAGGCAAAGGTAATGAATCCTTTGGACATGCCTTATTTAGGTCCTTATAATCCATACACATTCTAAGTTTATTTCCCTTTTTAGGTATGACCATTACGTTAGCTAACCAATCTGGTTATTTAACTTCCCAGATGGAACCTATTTTCAAAACTTTAGATACCTCGTCTTTGATGAATGCATGCTTGATTTCGGACATAGGCCTCCTCTTCTGCTTGATTGGGTGGAATTTTGGGTCCAAGCTCAACTTGTGAGTCGTCACTTCCGGTAGGATCCCTGTCATATCTAAGTGGGACCAGGCAAAACAATCGGTAGTAATTTTAAGGAAATCAATAAGTTTTTTCCTATGCTCGAGAGTTAACCTCGTGCCTAGGTATACCTTTCGATCCGGTAGATACTCGATCAGTATGACCTGCTCCAATTCCTCAATTTTTGATTTAGTGGCATCGGTGTCATCGGGTGTTATAAAGGATCTCGGGACACTATAATCATCCTCCTCGTTTGATGTGTGCTCCTCCTATTTTTCCAGCTCGGTCAGGGTCGGGATCATTGATTACTATTTGATTTCCTTCTCTTCGACCGGTCCCCTACTTTTTGATGCCAAAACTGCGGGCACCGGGATTACTTCCTCGACAGCGGGCATCTCCTTTGTGGCCGGTTATTCCCCGTAGACCATTTTGATTACTCCCGAAGTGGGAAATTTCAATGCTTGATGTAGGGTTGAAGGCACCGTCCTCATGTTGTGAACTCATAGCCTCCCGAACAAGGCGCTGTATCTCATATCCCCTTCGATCACATAGAATTTCGTTTCCTGGGTGGTCTCAACAGTGTTTACTGATAGGGTTATTTCACCCTTCGTCGTCTCGTATGCTATGTTGAACCTGTTCAATACTCGCACTACCGATACGATTTGGTCCAATAATCCTAATTGCTCTACGACCCTCCATCGGATGATGTTGATGAGTACGGATATTACCAACGCATCATTGTGAGGCTGGATGGTGCCCTCAGCGTCCTCGTCGATGAACGAGATGGACCCCTCCGGGATGTAATCCCGGGTGCATTTTTCCCTTGTGATAGAAACTTTGGTGCATTTTATTATTGGCCCTTGTGGGACATCCACTCCCCCAATGATCATGTTGATCACGTGTTGAGGATCCTCTTACTCAATTTGTTTGTTAGCGTCCCTATTTTTGAAATAATGTTTTGCCCACTTACTTAGAAATTCCCGAAGGTGCCCGTTGTTGAATAGTTGAGCCACTTCCTCCCTTAGTTGTCGACAATCTTCGGTCAAGTGACCATGAGTACCATGGTATTTACACATCAAGCTATGATCCCTCTGTGCGGGACCGGACTGAAGTGGCCTAGGCTATTTTGTCTCCTTGATGCGGCCAATTGCCGACACTATACTTGCAGCACCCACGTTGAAGTTATATTCCGATAATCTCGGGGCTTTCCTGACCCAAAGTGATCTATCAAAACCATGTTTATTCATCATACCTCGGTTGCTAGGTCCTTGATCGTTACTCCTGTTGTTCCTGGTTGGGTGGCGAAGAGATTCGTTTCCCCTTCTGTCCGAGTTGTATGACTGATACCGATCTCGGACCAGCCTTGGCTCCTGGTCCATAATCCTTTTAGATCTGTCAGTCACTCCGTTGGGGTAAATAGACACCGAGGGCCCCCCCAGCTGGTTGTCCTCGACGCTGATCTTCGACTAATACCTGTTGTGGACATCGACCCAAGTAACCGTTGGGTACTCCACCAAGTTTTTCTTTAATTGTTGAGAAGCAACGGAACTTCGAGGGTTGAGCCCTTGAGTGAATGCCTGAACGGCCCAATCATCTGCGACCGGGGGCAGATCCATTCGCTCCATCTAGAACCTTGACACGAATTACCTAAGCATTTCGTTGTCTCTCTGCTTGAATTTGAAGAGGTCTGATTTCCTCGTCTCAACCTTGATGGCGCCAGCATGGGCCTTAACGAAGGCATCTGCAAGTATATCAAATGAATCAATGGAATTGGGAGGCAAGTTATGGTGCCATATCATCACTCCTTTGGACAAGGTTTCGCCAAATTTCTTCAATAATACCAACTCGATCTCGTTGTCTTCTAGGTCATTGCCTTTTATTGCGCATGTATAGGAGGTTACATGCTCGTTTGGATCTCTGATCCCGTTATATTTGGGAATGTCAGGCTTTCGGAATCTCTTCGGAATTGGCTTCGGTGTCGCACTCGGGGAGG